CGTTCAAAGTCAGTTCTTTTCCTGAAGTCATCTTCAGGATCACCTTGCCTTTACCCTCAACAGCTGAGGTTGCAGAGTTTCCCATAAACAACTTCTCCCCGTTTGAAACCGATTCGAAAGTTGTGAACATTCTCTTCTCTACACAAATATGGCGAGTGGCCTCGGTGTCCACCCACCACTCCCTCGGGTTTGACCCCACCATGTTCACTTCTGACACGACGGCTGACAGATGCATGTCGTCCACATCGTGTGACAATTTCTCCATTTTAGCCATATGTGCCCGGTTTTTGTGTTAGGGAGGGTTTTTCCTGTAAGGCTTCTTCTTCAGACAATCAACTGCCCGATGCCCGTCACTTCTACAGTTGGAGCATTTGCCATCGAACCTAAAAGTAGGCTCATTTGGCTTGTAGGCTGGCCTTTTGGAGATTCCTCCTCTAGCCCCCAACTTTGAGCTTTTGCCTGTCGGTGGTTTTTTCCTCGCCCCCGAGGACTCGCCATGCTCAACCATGTTGGCTTTGACAGTGGAGGTACTCCCTCCTTTCTTCCTGTTGCCTTCCTCAATACGGAACCTGACAACAAGCTCTTCGACTGTCATCTCATTTCGTTTGTGCTTCAAGTACTTCTTGAAGTCTTTCCAGCCGTTAGATAGCTTCTCAATCAAAGCAGCTACCTAGAATGACTCACTTAGGACCATCCCTTCGGCATGTATCTCGTGCAGAATCACTTGGAACTCTTGGACTTGACTCAGGACAGTTTTAGAGTCCACCATCTTGAAGTCCAGACACCATTTTCAGGTACAGGAAACGTGCCAAGTTCAAGACCTTTGCTTAGAAAGTTGTCGAAGTTGAAGACTCTATTTTGCTATTTGTTTTTATTGATTTCATGTAAATGCAAGCCGAGGGCCTTATCTATGAAAGAGTTAAAACTCTTCTTTTGTGTAACCAAGTAACAACTTGGAAAGATGTAAGCTCGCAGGGCATTCTACTATTGTTGTAAACATTTGTTACTTAAATGAAACTCTCTTTTGTAACATTAACTCTGATGTATGTGTGGAAAAGTAATCTATCTATCATGTATATAGAACTGTTGGATCTTGGGTTTATGTATTATTTGAGGGCGTTACAGATAGTGTATTTGTAATTTACCCTACTAAAAAATACTCTTTTATTTATTTATTTATTTATTTATTTTTGATGTTACTAAAAAATGGCTTTGATTTGATCACCACATCACTAATGCTCTACATGGATCACCAAAACAAATTGTTGAGTGTGAATGTTATATAATTTAATATAGGGTCAATGATGCTAGCAATTTTTATATTTTGGTCTCTATAATTTTAATTGATTTGATTTTGTTTCAATATGGTTTAATTAATAACAACAATTAGCATTTTTTTAAAATTGAAAAATGCGTTCATGAGTAGCATTATCATGTTTTTAGGAAAAAAATTTATAAACTTACTTAACTGAGTCAGTTAATTTCAACTAAATCAATGATTATTGTTTGTCAAAGACTCTAACGGCGTTTATCAATTGAAAAAAATTAATTGATTCAAAAATTAAAATTAAGAATTAAAAATTAGTAGATTGAAACTATACAAACAAAAATGACACAAATGCTAAAGAAAAATGCTAGGGATACTAACAATCTTACTAACATACTCATAAGTTTGAAGGGGAGGGTACTAGCAAACAAACTAATAAATAACTGTAAGTAAAGATTAAAACCAACTCTTAAGTTACACATCTAGAATTTAAACTAAAAAAAAACTGTAAAAAATTAATTACATAATAAATATGTAATTAACTATATAAGTTACCGACCTAAATTAAATATAATTAAACCATATTTTAAATTGGTAAAGGTTACATATGAACTTATGGTACACTAAACATGCAACTAATTGAGGCAAGTTACAAACATTTACAACTCCACACCTAAATTAAAGATTAATAGGTACAAGTTACATGAAAATTTACTACCTAATAAACATGCTAGAAATGTAAATTACACTAAAAATTAGACCCGAATGAACATGTAATTTATATTGTAAACTAGAAGCATGTGAATCTAGAAATACAAGGCATGAACCGGTACACCATAAGTTAATAAATTAATTAGAAAATACAGTGAATTAACGTTGCACCAATGAAACTCTTCTTCCCTATTGATAACAGTGGCCTATTCCATGCCATGGGAAGACCAAACAGTAGCATACACAAAATGGCAAAATCAAAAGTTTAACCCTATGTACATGCATCTAATAAACCAATTAACTCGCTAGTACTACCAGAGCCAATTACAGGCAAAATTATTACACACACCTATGAATCTATTAATCTAATTCTATGATAAACGTCGAATCTATTTTAAGCTTGTTGGGAAAAACTACTCACATAACATAATTTCACATTGCATATCGCAAAATTATGAGATGAACAAAACAAACCTTTAATCCCAGGAAAAATAACATGCTGAATAAAATACAGATAAAATATAAAATGGTTAAAGGAAGCAAACCGAAGCCTGTGTGATACCACAGTCTCCTTAAAATAGATTCGCCGCCTCACCGTTGGGTGCTGGAGGTACGCCGGCGTCTACTTCCCAGGATACGACGGTTTTTACCAGCTACAACAAAAGCACCTTCTGATTAGCTTAGCGAACGGACAACGGCAACACTCTCTCTCAGGAAGAAAATTATAGGAGAAGTAGACTGACAGTGTATGGATGTCAAGGAAAAATTCTATATCTCTTTTCAAGGAATAGGGCATCCTTTTATACACCATAGGGGAGAGGGGAGGAGCCTCTAGCCATCAAGGCTGGCAACTAATGCTAGCAAAACTGCCCAATCAATTTTGTAAAACTGATGAGCCTTAAATGTGTGAGTTATATACAAATTTATGAGGCAATTTCTTATTCAACCATTTTTCTCCAACACTTCTTACCGTCATAGAGAGGAGAGGGATATGGCTCCATTATGTGAAAAATTATTTGGCAGTCCAACAACACTACATGGAAATATTTTTGTGTAATTAAGGACACTCCTTGAAAGATGTTTATATATCAAAAATATTCCTACATTTGCTAGCTCTAATAACGGCGGTGCGATGGGCACCAGAAATCTTTCCCTTTCTACTTTTGTTGACTCTAAAAAAGGCAGTGCTTGTGGATACCCAAAATCAAGTTTTCCACATTTATCGACTCTATAAATGGCAGGCTCGTGAACACCCAAAAACCTTTTCCATATTCATCTAACGACATGCGCAGACAGGGCAATTGGGCACCTTGACTCCCCGTGCAGGTACCAAATACACGCATAACTCAATTCCCCAAACCCGACTCAACTTCCCGTACTCATAAGCTATTTAACCCCTTTGACATTTTCCAAACACCCACAACGTGGTTAAATCACATGATGCATAAGGTTTCAATCTTTTTTTTTCCTAAGGTTTGTTCAATCCACAATGACATTAATAATAATAGCAATATTTATTACATAATAAATTCCTCATTTCCACAAATTTACCACATCCAAATCTTAAGGATTTATGTCCACAAGTTATCAAAAATCCATATCCCAATGCCAAAGTACACTCAACACGCTCAATTCTGCCATTTAAGAGTCAATTGAACAAAAGCCCCTTTATCAATTCAATTGGAAAACTAGGATTTAATAAAATTGGGACTTTTCTCCCATTAGCATATAAAAAGTCAATATTTACAATTTTTAACAATAATCAAGAAGATTATGCATAAAATTTTTCCAAAACATGGGGAAAATCCATTTCTATTCAACAAAACGCACTTTATATCAAAAAACCATCTCATACATTACTACAACTAAGAAAATATCACACACACAAATACACACACACACACACACACACACACACACACACACACACACATACATATATCAAATCATAAATATACCAAGTTAAAAGTACCCCTACCTCAAGATTGAAGGTAAACCACTACAACAAAACTAACTATTTACGGCATCATGTTTACGACATGCATTGAATGTATGTCGTAGTTAGTACATTCTACGCCATTTTTTTTTTTGCAAACCGTTAATGTTTTGTCAATAACGGCATACATACCATGTAAGTCATTGATTCATATATTTATAGCATGCAAAAGAATGCCATAAAAAATATATGTTTTTATGACTCACAAAAATATGTCGTAAAATATTTTCACTTAAGACGACATACATTTCATGTTGTAAAATTTTATAACTTTACACAACAAACATTAATATGTCGTGAAAACTTCTACAAAAAAAAAAAAAAAAAAAAAAATTCAATCCGAATTTTTTTTTATGGCATGCAAAAGCACGCTATAAAAAATGTATATTTTCACGGCATACAAATATATGTCATAAAATATTTGTACTTAAGATGACATACATTTCATGTCGTATAATATTAGAACTTTACACGACATGCATTAGCATGCCGTGAAAACATTTATTAAAAAAAATTTCAATTTGATTTTTTTTTTATTTAAAAAAGCTAACAATTTCCAATCAAGCTTTTCACCTTAAATTTTCCTAATTGAGGACAATATAAAAAATAATTTATACATTATTTTATAATTTAGTGTCTCTTTTAAGGGATAATTGCACCCAGTGGGATTTTGGGAAAATTTTTTTTACATATTCAAGAAAAAGTTTATAATTTTAATGATTAATATTTATATGACTTCTCACTAATTTGTAATTATTATTTTTTTAAATTACCTTGCTTTGATATTTTTCATTCTTTTAATAATTTATTTATCATTTACTTTTTAGATGTACCTAATCTGAATACAACTAAAAAATAAAATATTTGTAAAAAAATATAATATGTATGAAATGTATTAAATTTTATTTTTTTTTAAATTTAGTGATTTTTTTTTAAAAAAATTAAAGTATTTTTCTTTTAAGTATATGTAAATCATTTGAATTTAAAAAAAATTAAAATATGTAAAAATTTGCAATAACTAAAACAAAAAACTGAGGCCCTGTTACTCTCTCACTCACTCTCTGGGTCTCGATCTCTTTCTCTCAACCCTCTCTAAACCCTAATCTCTCTCAACTGATCGAATCAACCTTCTTCAACCCCGTTTGATCTAATCTCATAGCGATTGATGATTCATCTCAGATCCAATCTCAGAGCGATTGGTGATTCATCTCAGATCCAATCTTAGAGCGATTGGCAATTTCGATTTTGAGATTTTGAAGCTCCATCGCCTCCATCATTTGCACCGGTGAGGGGAGCGAGCACCATCGTCTACTAAGGTGAGCACCACCGTCTCTCTCTCTCTCTCTCAAGCTCTTCCTTCCCGTCAAGTTTGGTCAGATAACGAAACCAGTGCATTTGATTTCAGAATTTCGTTGTTTGAGCAATTTGCTGTATAATAATTTGTTGATGGAATCTCAATTAAATTCCACTCCAGTTTTCTTGTTTCATGTTCATGCGTCATGTTCTTGCTTCTTCGTCCAAGTCACAGCAACCTCTTGATTTGCCTTTCGGTCTGAAGTTTGTTATGGACTCATTCTTGTGATTTCAACATTTCATTTTATCAAATTTGTCTCAATTTCATCCAAAATTATAATCAATTTTCTTAAAACAAATATGATCATATAATTGTTAATGTTTGAGTAAAGATTCAAGGGATCTCTAAAACCAGTTTGACATTCTGTGTGATATGGGAGGGCCCTATGTACACGGGCAACAGGTGGCCACATTATGACCTCCTGTAAGAGTTTGAGACTCAAATTTGCTTCTTAAGGAATTTTTGACTTGTATCTTCTATTTATTTTTTCCTCTTTTACATTTTGTTGGGTTGAAAATGAAGTGCTGCAATCAGTTTTATAAATGGGATGATAGAAATAAAGATTTAGATAATTTTCTTTTCTTCACGAGTAAAATGAACAATATTCAGACTGGTAGTTAATTTAATGTGTTTTGCTCTCTGTTTCAGTTAAGTTTATGAATAAAATTATCTACAAATTATTGCCTCATTCACTCGCCCAATTCAACTAATTATAGTCCTCATTTTTTTGTTAGACATGATGTTTTATTGCTTCACTGCAGATAAGGAATCAGAATGTGATGAATTATTTATTAGTTGAATCCCATCTCTCCTTTCCAGTCCATTAGGAATCATGGTTTCTGCTAAACCCCAAATCCTCTTGATGTTAACCCTTTTGTCATTTCCATATATCTCTCCGATACTACCCAATCATTTCTCTACCAGTTATAGTTCCATAATTATCGTCCTTGACTTTAATGTATCTACTTGAACACCATTATCTCCTCCCCTGTAACCAACTAAAATGTTTATTGTATCTTAAGTTCGACTTGATAATGTAGATTTTTTTATATGTGTCTTAGATAATGCAAGTTTGAGGTGAACTTTGTTTTTGATTGATTGCATTCTGCAGTAAGAAACTCATGAATTTGATTAATTACATTGAATTTCTGACCAATTTCTTACTTTATATTTACTTGCTGGAATTCAGGAAATGAAGTTTGTTCTTGAAAAAGAAAATTTAATGCTAGTCTATCTCTTTGGATTGTGCTTATGTGAAGAGGAGAAGGAAGAAAACACGTTTTAGTTATTTCTATTAGCAATGGTATCAATGATAGGTTTTCTGTTTTTGGGAATGAAAAAGGCAAACTTGATAGCTACTGGACTTGTTACACCAATACCCCTTTCTATTGCACCTTCCATTACTTCTTTTTACGACATAAATGATAGGTTATTTCTATTAGCAATGGTATCAATGATAGGTTTCCTTGTTTGGCTCTACATCTCACTGGTATTCAAAACCACATTTTTGGCTGATGTGAAGCTTAGGAGTTGAATTCGAATTCCACTTGTGTTTTATGGTGTTTCGTATTTCTTATTACTATTTTGGGCTTGACATTGCATTGTTTAACTGTCAATCGCTCTGCAGCCGTTGAAGTTCCAAAGTGTGTGGACACTGTTACCCCTGAATACAAACCCAAGTTTGATGCCTGGTGAGAACTCGAATTTTTTTTTTTCTCTGATTGATTGTTAGTCTATTGAAGACCTCCATCCAATGGGGACTAAACTAGGCAAACCTTGTTTTTAGTAATCTATTTGTAAAGTTGTTTGTTCAGTAAAAACTTCAAAAATCTTTGAAGTTATTGCCGAAAAAGGACAAATGAAATATATTTTACCTTTTGGGTAACTAAGCATTTGGGTTGGGATTTTGGTTGAATAGATATTTGACTCTTTGCAATAAGGTGAAACATCTAACAAAGAAGTATGTTTTGAGTTACAGTTGGTGGAACTGAAAGAAGCAGAAGTAACATCTCTGAAGGAGTCTAAAAGATTAGAGAAAGAAATTGTAGAAGTCCAAGAGTTGAAGGTAATGCAAAAAAAATATGAATTTTGTTCTTTGCCAATTTTCACCTGTTCCCTTTATGTTGATATCTGAAGGGTTGTTTGTTGTGTAACAGCAAAAGATCAGTACCATGACTGCACCGGCATACATAGCTTTCTAGCATGTTTGTTGTGATGCTCTTTGGATAATAGCTCAATGGTCTTAGAAGGAGCACATTGTGTTTCTTGCATTTAGGGTTGTATTCTCTAATTCAATGAATTCTTAACTGTAAGAAATGATGACTATTTTGAAATACGTGAATTTTGATGCATAAACTTATGTATCGATATAGAATACACAGAATTGTGTGCCATATACGATAGTCTTGGTAGGCAGTAATACATTTCTTGTCCTGCACCAGCATACATAGCTTTCTAGCACGGTTTTCATCCAACTAAAACGTGAATCTTATGATTTGTAGTACTTTTTGGATGTTTAAAGTCGTATTTTAGAGATTCATAAATCTTATGATTTGGATACTTTTTTTGATTTGTATGTTTGAGGTTGTTATCAGCTTGATATGATAGAAGTTTAGGATGAAAGTTAGTATGCAGATTGTTTGGTGTATGAATATTAGATTTTTTTGCTTACTTCATAGTTATTGCTTCTGCTTGGTTTATTAACAGGTTGTATTTTATAAGCTACTGTCTACATATTGTTAGGCAATGTTATACTCTTGTATATATATTACATATTAAAAATAACCTTCTAAGGTATATAAAATTATGTCATGAAAAATGTAATGATTTATGACATGCAAGAAAATGCTTGTAGACACCCCATTTTTGACCGACCTTAAGACTCAGACGTCACCGATTGAGCGCTTGGTGATATTACATAATGTGCTCGTTCAGAAGTTTCAGAGTCGCGGCCGTGAGCCCTGCCTCCGGACTCCCGAACCCTCTTTTGTGCTTGGCCTCGGTTTGCGAACCAGGCTCGGTTTTCACTGTTTCTTTTCCTGATGGGGAAGGAGAGGTCCCGTAGACCATCTCTCAGTGGCCGTAGGCCGTTTTGCCCATTTCGGAGTCCGGTTTCCGGTTTTTCAGAATCGTTGGCCGTGTGCCTCGGTTCGGGACCGCCTAACCATCTCCGTTTGCCCCGGTTTTTGGCATACATCCTATTTACTCCCTTTTGAGGGACACTGGGGTCTGAGAAACCCACTTCGTGGCCGAATGCCACTTTCGGTGCTTAACAGCCCATTTTCGAGACCCCGAACTGCGCGTTTTGGCCCCCGAACTTTCGTTTTGCGACGGTTTTCGTTCATTTTTGGCAGGTACCTCTGTTTTATCACCGGGAAGGTCACTGAAGGGTGGGAGGCCAATAATTGTTGCAGCAACCAGTTATATATCCTCCGACGCCCTCCGACGCTCGCTTTTCACACTTCCGGGCTAATGTTGAATACCTTGGGGGCACTTTCTTGAATTTTGAACCATATATCTGTGATGTACACACTTGGGAGGATCCTAAAAATTGGTGGCCGGCCAGTAATGCTTCTTGACCCTTTTGAACCCCTCCTTCCGGGCTAATGTTGAACCATCTGGACCCTTTTTCTTGAATTTTGAACCACATATCTGTGATGTACACACATGGGAGGACCTTAAAAAGTGGTGGCCGGCCACTATTTCAACTTGACCGTTTTGACCTCTAGCCGGCCGGCTAGGTGAGGTGGCCGGCCGGCCACCTGGAGCAAAAATACTTGGCCGGCCGAGACCCTCACACTGTTCACTTTACAGCTGTATAGCTTTATCCCCCAGAAAATATCAATATCCGGGGGATATTTTGTAGGGGAAAGTTGGTCTCCTTTTCCCCCACCTTTACACCCCCTTTTTGGTCCTTATAACCAGCAAGCCATATCACATTTAGGGGTTAGAAAAAATTGTCTTCAAACCTCAAGATCCATATCTCCTTCCATCCTTCTCATTTTCCTAAAAATCCTTAAGTCCTACACCTTGTTTTCTTCATCACCACCAAGCTCTACCATCACCACTTCATTTCCAGCAACAAGGAGGGCTTCTCAAAGGCTAAAGGAGCTGCAAATTGGTCCAAGAAGCAACAAAAGACTTGTCTCCAAGGGTGAGTTGCCATTTTCTCTTTTTTGAGCTTTTCTTTGCAATATTTCTTAGCCATCTATGCTTTTTGCTTTGAGCTCCGGCCATAACTGAAAGTGGTCTTCTTTTGAGCTCATTTTCATGTCTCATTAAGGGCTCAACCCTGTTTGAGCCCTCTATCTTGCACTTGCTTCATTATCCCTCTAAAATACCGTTTTCTTGCATGATATTTTTAGCTCGTGTGTAGTCTGTTTTGGAGCATTACATGAACTGATAATAGGCTTATTTTGAGCCCCTCTTCAACATTGAGGAAGGGCTCAACACTGTTTGGGACCTCCATGTTATACTTGCCTTTATACTCCCTTTTTGGTCCCATTTTTGCATGCTATGGCAGCCTATTGTGCTTTTGTTTTTGGCCATTTTACAGTTCTATAAATAGTCTTATTTTGGTCCATTATTCATGTTTCATTTAGGGCCTTTCATGGTTTGGGACCTCCATATGCCACTTCATGTTATATCTCACTTTCGGTCCGTTTTCTTGCATGTTTTGTTAGCCTATCATACTTTTGTTTTTGGCCATTTTATAGTTCTAGAAATAGTCTTTTTTTGGCCTATTCTACATGTTTCATCAAGGGTCTTTGGCTGTTTGTGGATTATTTTGCATACCTCATGTTATAGCCTCTTTTGAGCCTTATTTTGCATTGCATTTCTAGCATGTTTTTATACTGTTTTGGCCATTTTACAGTTCTGGAAATATGCTTATTTTTGGTCCCTCTTCAATGTTGTAGAAGTGAATTTTTCAGTTTGGGCATTGTATATACCACTTGCCTCTTTGGCCATCTTTTGGCCCGTTTTCTTGCATAAAAGCTTAGCCATATCTATGTTTGTTTTTGAGGATTTTACAGTTCTGTAAATGTGCATATTTTTAGCCCCTCTTCAATATTGTAGAAGGGCCCAAACCTGTTCGAGGATAGTAGCTATGAGTTGCTTCTTAATCTCATGTTTATTCCCCATTTTTGCATGCTTGTTTTGCCCTGTTTTTGTCCACTGTTTGGCCATGCTATAAACTGGAAAAGTGCTTATCTTGGGGCTGCCTTGCTTCTGTCTTTTCATTCCATGTGCCAATTATGCATGTTTGGTATAGCTATAGGCCATTTCGGGTGCCTAATTTTGCATTTCGGGAC